CCTGTCGCGGCGTCGCTCGCAGGGTGGCGCGTCCCGAAGTAGTCTAGTGGGAAAGCAAGCGAGTGGACTGCACTGCTGGTGAGGGCGAGCGGGCGGGCGGGGAGGATGGGGAGAGCGCACGGGGTCCGAGGCCGCTGACCCGGGCCTCGTTGCCGCAGCTGGCCTTCGCGGGGCCAAAGAGGTGCGCCGGCCGCTTGGCGCAGGGCCGCGGGTCGCGCCCCGTCCGCCGCCACCGCCGCCGCCGCCGCTACTCACTGTGCGGCCCGCCCCTGCTTCGGGGCTGCACGGCGGGCAGTCTTTGCTCAGGATACGCACCCCAGTGTTCGTCCATCCGCGGGCGCGACGTAGACTTACCCTTTACCCCCTAATCCGCGAAAGGTGCTAATTCCATGCGGAGCCCAACCTCTGTCCTCCAGATTCAGGCCGGTGCGTCTGGGTAGCCCAAGTTGATCCTGGAGCAGGGACTAGGCAGCTTCCAATGTAGACGTGCTTGCTTAGGCGCTCGCTGCAGTCCCCCTTGCACATTGACTCCAGGATAGAGTTTAGGCTACAGAGGCATTAGGCCGTTGATTTTGTAGGTTGTATTTTAAACTTTAGGGATGTTTAGACCCGTCAGTAAATGTAGATCTATATCAGCATTTTAAAGGGCTACATCACATTCTGGATATCTTTTTATGTTGGGGGGAAATTTTAAAAGGAAACTGCTCTTACGTGGCTAAGCTTCTTTAGAACAGAGGATGAAGTAAATTCTAAGATAGTGAAATTACTTAGTGCTATGATAGCCTTAAAATATTTAAAAATTCCCTTTCATTTTTTGGTGTATGCTTTCAGAACTTTTTCATAAGACATGAGAGAAACGCTTTGGGAATTGATTTAGAAATGCTTTTTGATGCCGTTACTCTTGATAGCTAGGTGTGTTTTTGAATTATTTAAAAAAATTCTGGAAATATTTTTCTCTCTACCTGCCTTCTTTCTTTCCTTTTACTCTTCTATTTTTTACCTGCTCTTGCATTATTTTGCATCCCATCTTTGAGTCTCCATCGCCCCTGCATTTTCCATCATTGTAGGTCCCATAATATGCTCAAGCCAGCATGACTACACACCACTTTGAGAAGCAGTCTGTGAACCCAGCTTTTAGTGCTAGCTGGGTCTTTGGCCTTCTGGAGCTTCCATTTGCACCTCTGCCAGTCTCTAGTCCTCCAGTCTGGCTTAACCACATTTCATGGCCTCTTTTTGTCTTCTGGTACAGTGTGATTTCTGCTGCTGAGAAGTATAACTGTTTTCTGGAGGCAAACATTTTCAGTTGTGGTTACCACCCTTAGCTCTTTTTGGTTTTTGGAAATTATTCTGGTGACTGGACGGAGACTTCCGGGGAAAATTCCAGCACATTTATTGCTGTACTGGTTTTTTTGTTTGTTTTGTTTTGTCTTCTAGCCTGTGGTCACTTTACCCATTTTCATTATAGATGACAATTTCCAAATCTACCTGCTACCTTCTGTTCTCCCCCATCTTATTTATTTTTAGGATACACATGTCAGTATGGAAGATCATTGTAGTGAAGGAAATGCTGCTTATTTCCTCCGGTGAATTCCTATGCCTGGTCACCTGTGCCTTTATTTCTGGAATGTTCATTTCCTTTGGTCTGGTCACCTATGCCTTTATTTCTGGAATGTTCATTTCAGCATTCCTGAAACCTGACTTTTGTTTCTGGATCTGCTACTATGTAGGTAGGAGTGCTTTTGGCATTGGGGAAACAGACGCTGATAATTCTTTGATGTAGCATGATAAATAGGTTTTCATGAATCCATGTTATCCAAAATAATACTATAAAAGCAGTTGTTTCAATGAGGAAAGGGGCTTAGGAGCTCTATATAAAGTTATTTTTTCTACAGCTATTTTGCTATTAAAGAGATAAGAATATAACAGAATCTAAGCATGATAGCTATTTAGCTGTTAATTAAGAGTAATGGGGTTTTGCCACTATTTCCAGCAGTATTACTAGTATGGTACTTATTATATTTAGTACTCATTATTTTGATAAATAGTTTAACAACATTCAAGACAGCTATGTGGCAAGCAATGGCTTTTCTTCCTATGCTGCCATCTCTTTTAGGACCATCAGCAGTCTGCACAATGCAGTTCAGGTTCCCTAATTCTTTTTTTTTTTTTTT